ACTTGGTGATGAGGGACATTTAAGAAAAATTAAAGATATTGATAAGGCAGAGCAGCTGGCTCAATTAAACAAAGAGTGGGCCGGGCGCGGTGGCTCATGCCTGTAATCCCAACACTTTGGGAGGCTGAGGCGGGTGGATCACAAGGTCGGGAGATCGAGACCATCCTGGCTAACACGGTGACAATATACATCATTATCCATACTCAGGAGGCCGTGACACTTAAAATATGGTACAGTTATATCTGAAAGATTCTACAGAATTTCACACTCAGAGGAATGGTGTGAACCCGGGAGGCGGAGCTTGCAGTGAGCCAAGATTGTGCCACTGCCCTCCAGCCTGGGTGATAGAGTGAGACTCCATCAAAAAAAAAAAAAAAAAAAAAAAGACAGATGAGGACAATGAAGTTAAAGAAGCAGGATGGGCCTGGAGTAGTGGTCTTCAAAATATCATTCCTGAACAGCAGCACTGACATCAATTGGAAATGTGTTGGAAATGTAAGTGATTAGGACCTACCAAATCAGAACTCTGGGGATGGGTCCCAAGCAGTCCAAGTTTTAACAAGCCCTGAATGTGACTGTGATGTATGGTAGACTTTGAGAACTACTGGTCTAGAGAAAGGAAACAAAGCTTAAGATCTCAGAGGTGACCAGTATCATCTAAGATAGAGGTACAGGGGCCCACTCTACTGACAAATGGCTGATGTCATGTGGCAATGAGGGTCGTGGCATAGAATAGGGGAATGCACAAGTCCAGGTTTCAGGCAGGTCATCTATAACTGGGAAAGATAAAAGCAAGGGTTGGAATAAAAGGAAAAAGGGGATCCTTTTTGCTCATATCATCAAAGAAGGGGAAAGTGAGTCTTAGAAGGGGAGAATTTGAAGTGAGCAACATAATGAGCTATCAAACGAAAAAGACTGAGAACTCTGACAGTGGTGAGCAAAGACCAGTTGGTTAAATGGGCCAAACTAAGTAATCATTCCACCAGCCAAAAGAAACAGGAGCCAAGGGTGTCTGCCTAAGGGACAGAGTGGGAAGGTTGCTGCCTCAGAGGAGAAAGGGCCAAGTTAAAGAGGTGAAAATAAAAAAGGGAACTTTGGCCGCATGGTGGCTCATGCCTATAATCCCAGCACTGTTGGGAGGCCGAGATGGGTGAATCACTTGAGGTCAGGAGTTCGAGACCACCCTGGCCAACATGATGAAGCCCTGTCTTTACTAAAAATACAAAAATTAGCCAGGTGTGGTGGCAGGTGCCTGTAATCCCAGGCTGAGGCCAGATAATCACTTGAATCTGGGAGGCAGAGGATGCAGTGAGGCGAGATCATGTCACTGCACTCCAGCCTGGAGTCTCGACACAGTGAGACTCCATCTCAAAATAAATAAACAAAATAAAATAAATAAAAAAGGGAGTTTTTACCCATTTAACCACGGATTATTATATTATATATATATAACTCTTTTTATGTTTTCTTTTTTTTTAATTTACCATTAATTATATTTAAGTTGTAGGCGTAACATGTGCAATAACTGCAGGTAATAGTACATATTATACTTGTGCCAATGTTGGTGTGCTGCACCCCATCAACTCTCATTTACATCATGTATAACTCCAAATGCAATCCCTCCCCCCATCCCCCTTCCCCCATGATAGCCGGTGTGTGATTTTCCCCTTCCTGAGTCCAAGTGATCTCATGTTCATTCCCACCTATTGAGGAAGAACATCGCGTGTTTGGTTTCTGTTCTTGTGATCGTTTGCCTAAGAATGATGTTCCAGCGCCATCCATGTCCCTACAAAGGACAAACTGCCATCCTTTTATGGCCTGCATAGATTCCATGGGATACTGTCTGCCAACATTTTCTAATCCAATCTGTCACTGATGACATTTGGGTTGATTCCCAGTCTTTGCCTATTGTGAACTAGTGCTGCAAAAACATACGTGTGCATGTGTCTTTTATAGCAAGCATAATTTAAATTTTCATAGAGCTGTTTATTAGCGTATTCGATGAGTTTGGTATTCTGTGGGGGGTTGGTGGTAATATCCCCTTCTCATTTTTTATTGTGTTATTTGATCTTCTCTTTCTTATTTATTAGTTGCAGCAGTCTATCAATTGTCTATCCTTTCAAAAAACCCAGCCCTGGATTCATTATTTTTGAAGGTTTGCGTGCTGTCTCTATCTCCTTCAGTTTCTGCCTCTGCAAAAAAAATTCTTAGGTTATCTTGGCCTTCTACTAGCTTTTGAATGTGTTTGCTCTTGACTTCTCTAGTTCTTTTTAAATTAGTGATGTTACGGGTGTCAAATTTTAGATCTTTCCTGCGCTTTTCTCTTGTGGGCATTTATGCTGCAAATTTCCCTCTACACACTGCTTTAAATGTGTCCCAGAGTTCTGTATGTTCGTGGTATTGCTCCTCACTGGTTTCAAATAACATTTTTATTTCTGCTTTCATTTTATTATGTACCCAGTAGTCATTCAGGAGCAGGTTGTTCAGTTTCCATGCAGTTGAGTGGTTTTGAGTGAGTTTCTTAATCCTGAGTTCTAGTTTGATTGCACTGTGGTCTGAGAGAGAGTTCATTGTAATTTGTGTTCTTTTACATTTGCTGAGGAGTGCTTTATTTCCAACCATGTGGTCAGTTTTGGAATAAGTGTGATGTGTTGCTGAGAAAAACGTATATTCTGTTGATTTGCGGTGGAGAGTTCTGTAGATGTCTATTAGGCCTGCTTGGTGCAGAGCTGAGTTCAATTCCTGGACATCCTTGTTAACTTTCTGTCTTGTTGCTCTGTCTGATGTTGACAGTGGGGTGTTAAAATTTCCCATTACTATTGTTTGGGAATCTAAGTCTCTTTGTAAGTCTCTAAGGACTTGCTTTATGAATCTGGGTGCTCCTATATTGGGTGCATATATATTTAGGATAGTTAGCTCTTCTTCTTGAATTGATTCCTTTAGTATTATGTAATGGCCTTCTTTGTTTCTTTTGATCTTTGTTGGTTTAAAGTCTGTTTTATCAGAGACTAAGATTGCAACCTCTGCTTTTTTTCGTTTTCCATTTGCTTGGTAGATCTTCCTCCATCCCTTTATTTTGAGCCTATGTGTGTCTCTGCATGTGAGATGGGTCTCTTGAATACAGGAAACTGATGGGTCTTGACTCTTTATTCAATTTGCCAGTCTGTGTCTTTTAATTGGAACATTTAGCCCATTTGCATTTAAGGTTAATATTGTTATGTATGAATTTGATCCTGACATTATGATATTAGCTGGTTATTTTGCTCGTTAGTTGATGCAGTATCTTCCTAGCATAGAGGGTCTTTACAATTTGCCATGTTTTTGCAGTGGCTGGTACCGGTTGTTCCTTTCCATATTTAATGCTTCCTTCAGGAGCTCTTGTAAGGCAGGCCTGGTGGTGATAGAATCTCTCAGCATGTGTTTGTCTGTAAAGGATTTTATTTCTCCTCCACTTATGAAGCTTAATTTGGCTGAATATGAAATTCTGGGTTGAAAATTCTTTAAGAATGTTGAATATTGGCCCCCACTCTCTTCTGGCTTGGAGAGTTTCTGCTGAGAGATCCACTGTTAGTCTGATGGGTTTCCCTTTGTGGGTAACCTGAACTTTCTCTCTGGCTGCCCTTAACATTTTTTCCTTCATTTCAACTTTGGTGAATCTGGCAATTATGTGTCTTGGAGTTGCTCTTGTTGAGGAGTATCTTTATTGCATTCTCCACAACAGGGATTCTTAAGCCTACCATGAAAGAAAGCTGGGCTTGGGGGATGAGTAGAACATAGTTCAGTGGTAGAAGTTGTCCAGAAGCCAGCATGAATAACACAACTCAAGATAAGAGAATGGTAGACTGGGAGGCTGGATCAGTAAAACAGCAAAGAGACAAACACTAGGTGAAGGAAGTTATTTTAGAAGATGGAGAAAAATGCACACGTGCAAATAAAGTACAATCTATCTTTCAAACACAATGTTGTATTGACACAAATTCTTTCACTAGAAGCAAAAAGAAAGTGTAGGCATGGGGAGGTGGTTGCTGGTTTTCCAGACATTGCAATCACAAATTTTGGGGTCCATTTGGAGCAGGAGTCCCCTACTCCTGGGCTGTGGACAGGTACTGGTCCATAGCCTGTTAGAAACTGGGCCACAGAGCAGGAAGTGAGTGGTGGGTGAGCAAGCATTATCACCGGAGCTACACCTCCTGTTAGATCAGCTGCAGCATCAGAGACCCATAGGAGCAGGAATCCTATTGTGAACTGCGCATGTGAGGGATCTAGGTTGAAAGCTCCTTATGAGAATCTAATGCCTGATGATCTGAAATGGAACTGTTTCATCCCAAAACCATCCGCACCCCCACCCCTCCCCTACCATCTGTGGAAAAATTGTCTTCCACCAAACTAGTCCCTCCAGGCTCTGGTGCCAAAAAGGCTGGGGACTGCTGATTTAGAGGACAAGGAAGATTTCTGATGGTAGAGGTAGGAACCAAGATGAACCCACACATAAAATGTGCAGTATTGTTTAAGCAAGGAGTTATGTTCAAAAGTGCATTCCCATTCTAATAAAGGAAAGTTAGGACAACCCAAAAAATGCCTATGTAGCATTCTTATTTATTTTATTTTTATTTTTTAAGACAGTCTCCCTCTGTCACCCAGGCTGCAGTGTAGTGGCACCATCTCAGTTCACTGCAACCTCTGCCTCCCACGTTCAAGCCATTCTCTGCCTCAGCCTCCCGAGTAGCTGAAACTACAGGTGCACACCCAGCACACCCAGTTAATTTCTGTATTTTTAATAGGGACGGGGTTTCACCATGTTGGCCAGGTTGGTCTCGAACTCCTGACCTCAAGTGATCTGCCTGCCTCAGCCTCCCAAAGCGTTGGCCTCGGCCTCCCAAAGTGTTGGGATTACAGGCGTGAGCCACTGCATCCTGTCACCATGTAGCATTCTTAAATAAGGCCCTATATTTTTAATAATATTTATTTGTTTAATATGAAGGAAGAAAAAGTAGAAAAGGTTTTGCAATTTAGTCTGGAATTGTTACACAAGATACAGACTTTATTTCCACGGATTTCTAAAGTCAGATGCTTAAAAAAAAACTCTAATCAAATTTACCCCCACTATATAATATTTACCATTATACCAACCAAACTTATATAATAATTACTCTTGAAAAATAAGTAGACTGTAATATCTAGTCAATTGCAAAATATAATAGATTGCAACCAAATTGTTAACAACAAGAAAAAAAAACTCCCCTAAAGAACTTGAACCTTCATAATAATTTATACAGAATTCTGTTTAACTTAATATACAAGAAAATCTGCTGTGGATAAGGCATTGCTTTATGAACCCTCCATCCTCCCTCAGAGAATAAGGCACACCAATCATTAGCATTATAAATCACAAAACTGTAAGAAAATCTGAAGACAGCAGATGCCTCATATGCCACAAAGAAAAGCAGGTAACTTTAGGGCACGAACTTTAATAAACTGTGCAAATATAAGATGTATAGTAACTAAATTTTCCTTCTCTAATAAACAGGAATCATTTTAATAGAAGATCAACCCGAAAGAAAAAGGAAAAAGCAAATTTCCTAAAACTTTATTTTGAAAAAAATATACGCTGTCTTTCAGTATCAGGCAGATTAAAAAATTATTTAACTAGTAAAATATTTTAGAATAGTATATAAACAAACTGATAGCAACTAAAACAATTTTAGTGGTACATTCAGGAATTTACATTTGAAATGACATTACTGGTCATTATTTTTTGTATGAATTCAAATGTTATGGTTATGATCCAAATATCAGTATTTTGTTAATGTTATTTATTAACAAATATTAAATTTACCTATGTTTTTCAAAACAGTTAAAACACAACACATGAGATTTTAGGCTAGAGATACTAAAAAAATACTAATTCAGTAAACTGTTACTATAGTCAACATGTTTTAATAATTTCCTAAATTAATTTCTGAAATAATAAGCTAGATCTAATGTTAGCTACCAGATATTACAATGATGTGTCACAAGTGCTCTGAAGATTTTGCCAGCAATCATAACTCATAAAGCATTGTGCAAATTAAATTTCAGTCAGGATCAACATATATGAAAATAAATACATGTTAGCATTAACTATACATTTGTATAGTTAAATGATTGATATCATTTATTTGGCGATTTCACTATTTCAATATCTCAAGAAAATGTGGATCCAAATATAATGTTAACTCTTTACAAATTAGTTACCCTAAATTTGAACTGTTTTTCACTAGGAAATGGACTAAATTCCAGGTATATTTCCAGAAAATGAACAGGATGTTAATCTAACAGAACTACTAGTAACACCAGACAAACAGAAAAAAACAATAAAAACATATTGTGGAATAAATGAAACTCCAATATTGCACTAGAGTTGTCATAGAAGAGAGAAGTAGAATAATAACAAGTATAATTTTTAAAAAAGTTGTACATGCTTCCTGAGAAAGAGGATTCCAGAATTATAATAATTAAATAATATAAACACCTAACTGTGTTTTTAAACATTAACTTTAATGTTGGCTACTCTTAATTATCATCATCTGAGCCATTTGCTTCTCTAAGACTGCTGTGTGGTTACCTCAGACGTCAATACGAACTCCATGTTTTGAAGACATCATTTGTCTGGTTCCTGTTAAATACATAACGAATGAACAGATGTGAGGTAAAGATGATGTGATTATTACATAAAGCCAGAATGGCAAAGGAGAAGTTTTTCCAAATGGGCATATCCACAAACCATGACGAATCCCATCGCGGATATGGTGTGAAGTCCAGGATATAAATAACATCCAAGGAAGAAAGCACCATGAGTCTTTGAGCTTGAAAAGGTGCATAGTAAATTTCAAGGTCAGAACCACAACAGGTATCACAGTAGAACAGTGAAGGAAAGGTCTTCGCGGAAGAGTCAAAGCAGCCTGAGGGAGCAAAGTAATAGCGAGTATCATTGCCCTTCTAGCAAAACAAAATTTTATACATGCTTCTTAATATTTTAAAATATTTTCCAGAGTCTATTGGACATGCAAAAGAAACATGTTCTATGCCACTTCAGAATACATATACCAAAATTATATATATACACACACACACACACACATATATATATATAAAAAGACTATAAAAGTGTGAGCAGGATATCCTTTACATTAAAAATAAAATCAAGTTCTCAGGAATATGGTGATTAATTTTTTAAGTATCCCATTATTTGCTTAGAAAATTCACAATATGAATATAATTTATATCCTAAGTGTATGGTTTGTGTAATTTGAAGTTTTATATAATTATTCACGGTCTTTAAGAGCACTGAAAAAATATCTCACAACCAAATAAAATATTAGTTAATGAAGGCAAAAGAGGGAAATATTTTTGTTATATCCATTTTATATTAGCGATAAACACTTTTGGAATTTATTTACAATATTTAGAAAAACTATATTATTTTAAATACATATTCTAAAATTGAGTTAAATAAACTGCAGTAAATTTCTTTTTTTTTTTTTTTTTTTAGATGAGTCTTGCTCAGTTGCCCAAGCTGGAGTGCAGTGGCGCAGTCTTGGCTCACTGCAATCTCTGCCTCTTGGGTTAAAATTCTTTAGCCTCAGCCTCCTGAGTAGCTGGGATCATAGGCACCTGCCACCATGCCCGGCTAATTTTTGTATTTTTAGTAGAGATGGGGTTTTACCATGTTGGCCAGGCTGGTCTCGAACTCCTGAACTCAGGTGATCCACCCACCTTGGCCTCCCAAAGTGCTGGGATTACAGATGTGAGCCATGACGTCCGGCAAACTTCAGTAAATTTCTAAACCACTACCAAAAAATATACTCAATATCTGAACCAATAAAAATTTCAGGCTTAATCCCTGAATGATTCATGAGTAGGGTTTTGTTCCCACCTGCTTTAAAGACTAATTTGCAGCAAGATAATCCCTAAACAAAAATAAAGCTGAGAATAGTGATGATTGTCTAAATCTGAATCTCTGCACATATCCTCTAAAAACATTTTAAAACATGAAGGACAAATAAAACTACATAAAATCTTAAACCCTCAGCATAAATAAAAGCCAGAGAATGCCCATATTTGAAATTACCCATGAGTATTAAAATAAACACCAGATCAGTGGGTTCTCTCTCAAACACTTCCATCCAAGTCAGGAAAAACTATATTGAAGAGAGAAGAGGGGAAACCTAAGATTGATCTAAAATTATCACTAGGAAGTTCAGTTTAAGCGTGAAAATACTGTTGATCTAAAATTATCACTAGGAAGTTCAGTTTAAGTGTGAAAATACTGAAGAGTGTCCTAGTAGGTCAGAACACTAACTGCAGGGAAAGGACTTAAAAGTGGACCTTCAAGACTCTGAAAGGTATTGATTCTGGGGGAGATGATGGTAAGAAAGGGAGAGACACCCTTTGGAGACTAGATGGTGAAAAGGAAAAGAAGTAGTAAAAGGAAGAAATGTAGTTTCCTGTCCAAAAAACAAACAAACAAAAATCAGACAGTGTTCCCACCACATGAAAAAAAGTTACTCATTAAAGAACCGTACCTTGTCCCACTGTCAAATCAGACCACCCTTGAACAAGGAATTCTATAGACCCTCTCCTCAAACTAGTATTCTTTACCTCTCACCTATGGTCTGAACATCAAAGAGTCTATTTTACACTCCTCTTTCCTTGCCTCCTCCTCCACATTTTGTTTTACTTCTACTTCATCAGAACATGTACTATTTCTGTATTATTATTCTACTTTTGTCTTCACCTTTGTTTTTAAATTCTATATCCACAATATGTTAAGTTCATCATCGGTCCTTTTGCCAACACTGCCTTAACCAAGAATATGTTAGAATAAATAATCATGTAATATCATGAAATAAAGTGATAAAAGAGAACAAATCTGTAAAAAGCTAGTATAGGAGGAAAATAGAAAACAGAATAAAAATATCAGGCCAGGTGGGATGGCTCACGCCTGTAATCCAAGCACTTTGGGAGGCTGAGGCAAGCTGATCACCTGAGGTCAGGAGTTCGAGACCAGCCTGACCAACATGGAGAAACCCTGTCTCTACTAAAAATACAAAATTAGCTGGGCGTGGTGGCATATGCCTGTAATCTCAGCTAATCGGGAGGCTGAGGTAGGAGAATTGCTTGAACCTGGGAAGGGGAGGTTGCAATGAGCTGAGATCACACCATTGCACTCCAGCCTGGGCAACAAGAGTGAAACTCCGTCTAAAAAACAACCCCCCCCACATAAAAAAATCTCTTGAACCCTGTTCCTAGTAACAAATACAAAAAAAAAAAAAATAATTTTTAAAAAACTACACAAAACATAAGAAAATTGTATCACAAGACTCCAAACTAAATTAAATCTCAAACAACCCTATGGGGACATAAAAAAAAATCTTGAATCAGAAGTTCAAAAATGGAAAAAAAAAAAAGATTTAAAAAAAGATAATAATTGATTAAACTCAGTATGGAAAAAAACAAAAACAATCTAATAAATGACTATATTGTAATGTGTCCAAGGGAGAATAGGTCAAATGAAAGTTTAATAAGGTGCATTGAAAAAATTAATACAAAAATTAGCTGGGTATGGTGATGCATGCCACCATATCCCAGCTACTCAGGAGGCTGAGGCATGAGAATCCCCTGAACATAGGAGGCAGAGGTTGCAGTGAACTGAGATTGCACCACTGCACTCCAAACTGGGCAACAGAGCAAGACTCTGTCTCAAGAAAGAAAAGAAAAGAAAAAAAATGCAGGAAACTAACCAAGAAAATAAAAATAGTATGAGGAAAAGAGTAAAAACAGTCAGGTAGAAAATGGCTGAAATAGAATACAGGCAAAAAGAAACAACATATGTATAATTGAAGTCCCTAAAGAAAAACAAAGGAATAGAATGGAACCAGTATTTAAAGCTATGATCTAAGAAAACTAAAAATAAAAATGCGAATCTATTACAAGAGCCCATCTTAAAAAACTGACTCGATAAGCTTCAAGACAATTTAGTAGAGCTGTTACTGTAATAATGATAAAAGAACAGTTTTTAAGGCCTCCACGCAAAAGGTAAAATAACTTGCAAAGGCAATAGTATTACACTGGCATCAGATTTCTCCCCCCAACAAAAGCACTTTTATGTACTATAGTAATAAAGGTTTAGTTTATAATCCATATTAGTAAAATATAAATCATAGAACTGATTGGAAAGACTGGCGACACTTTTAATAGGAAGTACAACATTTTCAATAGGATGGGATTAAGGAGCCTATGGTAATCACTACTTGCAAGAAAGCAATAACCTGATGTTGAGTTATGTTCTGGATATATTCACAGCCATACTGATTCTTTACATTCTTATTTGTGAATTAACATCTATTTATATTAATAGCTGCTAAAAAAGAAACTGGAAATTCTTATTGTTTGCTGATTTCTAAAATATCAATGTAGCTTTTTTTTTTTTTTAGACAGAGACCTGTGCTGTCTCAAAGCCCAGGCTGGCGTATAGTGGCACAATCTTAGCTCACTGTAATCTCAAACTCCTGGGCTCAAGTGCTCCTCTTGCCTCAGCCTCCTGATTAGGTGGAACTATAGGCATACACCACCATGCCTGGCTAGTTTTTTTTATTTTTTGTAGAGATGGAGTCTTACTCTGTTGCCCAAGCTGCTCTTCAACTGCTGACCTCAAGCGATCCTCCCATCTTAGCCTCCCAGTGTTGGGGTTATAGGCATGAGCCACTGTGCCTGGCCTTTGATTTTTTTATTAATAGAAAAATGATGAATAATGAAAGAAAATGGAATTATCATGGAATCACAGAAGTAAAAATAGATCACTGCCATGAATACTTATTCAGGTTTGATATTTATTACTGATAATCACATACCACCTTATGGTGAATGTAAAATATTTTAATACTTAATTCAAAAATATGATTAATACTAGCACTATGCTGTACTTTATGTGCACTATCTCATTTGATCCTTATAACAACTCTATATGGTAGGTAGCATTTTACAGCAGAGGAGACTGAGGTAGTGAGGCTAGTCACTTCCCCCATACTGTGCAGTTAATGAGTGACATAGCTGGGATTTGATCCTGGTTCTGTCTAACTCTATAGCTCATATTCTTAACAATAGTGCTTCTAAGTGAATTAAAGGATAAATATGCTATGCAGCCCAAATGCTTTTAAAAATTATAAAAGAATAAATTCTAGATGAATACATTTATGAATCACATATTTTATAATGCTTCATAACTTATCCCAATCTCTAACATTTATTGTTTTTTCCTTTTTTTTTTTTTTTTGAGACAGAGTTTTGCTCTTTTTGCCCAGGCTGGAGTGCAATGGCATGATCTCAGCTCATTGCAACCTACGCCTCCCAGGTTCAACCAATTCTCTGGCCTCAACCTCCCAAGTAGCTGGGATTACAGGCACCTGCCACTACGCCTGGCTAACTTTTTTTGTATTTTTAGTAGAGACAGGATTTCACCTTGTTGGCCAGGATGGTCTTGATCTCTTGACCTCGTGATCTGCCCGCCTCAGCCTCCCAAAGTGCTGGGATTACAGGCGTGAGCCACTGCGCCTGGACCATTTACTGTTAATATTTACCAGGCCATGTCACTTATCATGCTTACTTAAGCCTCACAACAACCCCACAAGGTAAGTAATGTTATAATACACATATTACAGATGAAGAAGTTAAAACTTAAAGAAGAAAAGGGAACTTAATTAAACTGAAGAGCTTCTGTACAGCAAAGGAAATAATCAACAGAGTAAACAGACAACCTACAGGATGGGAGAAAATAGGGTTCTTTTGCCAAAGGGCTCATATCCAGAATCTACAAGGAACTCAAACAACTCAACAAGAAAAAACAACCCCATCAAAAAGTGGGCAAAGGACATGAACAGACATTTTTCAAAAGAAGACAAATAAGCAGCCAACAAACATGAAAAAACGTTCCATATAACTAATAATCAGAGAAATGCAAATTAAAACCACAACGAGATGCCATCACATACCATCAGAATGGCTATTAACAAAAAGTCAAAAACCAACAGATGTTGGCAAGGATGCAGAGAAAAGGGAACACTTATACATTGTTGGTGGGAATCTAAATTACTGAAAACAGTATGAGATTTCTCAAAGAACTAAAAGTAGAACTACCTTTTGATCCAGCAATCCCACTACTGAATATCTTCCAAAAGGAAAATAAGTTATTATATAAAATAAATCATTGCCAGGCACACTGGCTCATGCCTGTAATCCCAGCACTTTGGGAGGTTGAGGCAGGAGGATCACTTGAGCCCAAGAGTTTGAGACCAGACTGGGCAACATAGGGAGACCCTGCCTCTACAAATAATTTTTTAAAAATTAGCCTGGCACGGTGGCATGTGAACTATGGCCCCAGATACTCAGCAGGCTGAGGTGGGAGAATCGCCTGAGCCCAAGAGGTTGATGCTGCAGTGAGCCGTGATCACACCACTGCACTCCAGCCTGGGCATCACAGCAAGACCCTATCTCGAAAAAAAAAAAAAAAAGAAATCATTATATAAAAAATGTATGCACTTGTATGATTATCACAGCACTATATACAATAGCAAAGTCATGGAATTAACCTAAGTGTTCATCAGTGGATGACTGGATTAAAATGTGATATATAATCACACCATGGAACACTACTTGCCCATACAAAAATCATAAAATCGTGTCTGATTTTATGGATGGAACTGGAGGCCATTATCCTTAGTGAAATGACGCAGAAACAGCAAGTAAAAAACCACATGTTCTCACTTGTAAGCGAGAACTAAACAACGGGTACACATGGACATACAGAGTAGAATAATAGACATTGGAGGGAATACTACTTGGCCATACAAAATAATAAAATCATGTCTTTTACAGCAACATGGATGGAACTGGAGGACATTATCCTTAGTGAAATGATGCAGAAATAGTAAGTTAAAAAACCACATGTTCTCACTTGTAAGCGAGAGCTAAACAATGGGTACACATGGACATACAGAGTGGAATAATAGACACTGAAGACTCCAAGAGGTGGGAGGGTGAGAAGAGGTGAGAGATAAAATACTATTTGTATAGCATTAGAGTGATGGGTACACTAAAAGCTCAGACTTTGCCACTATGCAATACATACATGTTATACAACTGTGCTTGTGGCCCTAAATCCACAAAAATTTAAAATAAAACTAAAATAAAGGAAAGTACTCTGCTAACACCAAAAAACCAGGATTCAAACTCAAGTCTTCTTATTTCAATATTAAACAAAATGATATGTTAACTCTACCTATAGCACAAAAGTTTGTCTTTAATTAGCAATTACTGATTCTTTACTGATTAAATTTCTAAATAAGTGAAACAATTTCTGAGAAATACCTGGTACCCGACATATAATAGGAAAAAGTGAATATTTCTCATTCACTTTTCTCATATTTCCTGAATATCTACTAGGTAAGCCAGGCATTGTTCTAGGCCAGGGGTGAATGAAACAGAAAGTCCTTGCTCTATGAGTTTAGATTTCTTTCCTGAAATGTTTATAGATCATAAACACATAAAATGTAGCAAATCTTCTGACATTTAGAAAATATTATCTGAAACAACATTTTAAGTTTAGTTCATTTGTGAGCTATATAACTAAACTTCTGAATGCCTCAATGAAATTCCTCAATTTCTCCACAAGGGACTGTGTTCTAGCCAGTCCAATTGAAATACACGCCTTTGGCCCCAAAAGGGACTGGGGGAATTAATCTGTTCAAGTCATTCCTCAGGACTGGGAATCATCTTAAAGCTATTCAACTTTTATGGAGTACTTAGGAGCTGCATACTAACTGTAAAACATAAAGAATAAGGGGGAAATATTAAGTGTGCTCCTGAAGAAAGTACACTGATACAAAAAGAACTAGGACAGCCTTGAGAATGACCCCTGTTAATTTAAGCCGGTTTGCTAATACTTTCTTCAAGACCTGGCTAAACACATCCTCTGTAAGCCAGCCCTGAACTCTTTAGGTACATACAGTTCATGGGTCTTTGCTCTATGTGAATCCATAGCAGTTTGTGATGGCAAATAATTTGATTAGCAACGTATTTGTGTGCATCTTTAGGGAAGTACTAAGTGATCAAAAAGGTTAAATGAATGTGTTTCCTATTTTAAGACAAATCCTCTCTAGTTCTAAATGATGCTGTAAAGATTAACAAAATAGTGCTAAGGAAATTAAAGACCAGAAAAATTAAGCCTATGCTTTTTACCTTTAAAGACATGGATCCAGCTAGAAAAAAGTGGTCTACATCAATAACAGAGGCTAAAAATCCAGCTAAAATGATTTCTCCGAAGTCAGTCTTCTTCTTGATTCCAATGACTACTGCCCATGACCACATGCCAATTACACAATGTACGGCATTATCTGAGACAGCACGAAGCCAGTCATTTTGCTGAATTGTAGAAAACTGAAGAAGTCTGTCAGCTACAAGGCAAAATACCCCCAGACCAAGGCTGGAAATAAGAGATTCAGTGCTACAAGTCTGCAGTAAAGCATGGGTCTTTTCAGTCTCGGATGCCATGACAAACAATATGTTAGTATAGACTAAAAGCCATCAGGAATGAACAGTCTATTCTTGTTTACATTTCCAGCACCCTAAAGGAGAAAGCAGAGAAAAATATGAAGGAAGATTATGGACTGCCATATAATATTTAAACAAAACAGTATCAGCAATAATTTCTCACATATAAGACCAAGATGTAAATACTGGCAACTTTTACATGTTATATATAATATGCCGCATAGCCTAAGGAGAATAGATTAGTTGTTTTTTTTTTTTTTTTTTTTTTTTTTTTAGGAAAAACAGGGTACATGGTATATATCAAGGAGAATTTCAGAAAGCCCACCAACTGCAATCTATTGCTTTAAGTCATCAAATAGTTCTCTCTCTCAGCTGTGTGTAGTACATGGTAGTGAATATCCATTGGGTTTGTGTACCCAACAACTACTTTCCGTACTTCTGACAACAGTAATCCCTTCCTTTGGGAAAACTTTCTCACATGAAACTCCAGAGCTCACCAATTAGAGTTTTCCATTTCCCTAATAATGGTGACTAATTTAGTAATGAAAGTGGCCCAGGCTGAGCTAATCAGATTCCTTTCCAAAATTTTTCTTAGTGGAGCTGGTAGAGAAAGTTCCTCTTCTTGGAGACCATGGACTCCACTACATGAAATAGCCTAGGAAAATAAAATCCCAGAGAGACACAAAGGAGAAAGACTAATAGAATCATGAAGACAGTGAGTACTTACGTTGAATGTCTAAAGGTTCTCAGAGCTACCCTGGATCTTGCAGCTCACCCTCCACTTTGATGAGCTACCCCAGCATTTTCCCAATAAATCCCCATTTCATTTCTGTTGCCTTGAACCAAATAACCTTAACTCATATAAAAATGCAATCATAATTCTATGCTGAGTTCTCACGTGGCACAGAATATTGACATTATTTACCTAGCTAGAAAATATCTGTCTACCTAAAGTGTGACACATGAAGTTTTTTCTTTTACAATGTTTTGTTTTAATCCTGAGACTAAAGAATAACTGATTTATTCATAATGAATCAACTTCTGTTCTGCAATAAAAACTATGCATAGCTCATTATAATATATTCTAAAACTGCAGAGGACCTAGAAGTATCAAACAAGTTTGGAAAACAGAAACTAAGTTGGAGGACTACTAATACCATCTTATTTTAAGTTTTATTATAAAGCTACAGTAGGCTGGGCACAGTGGCTTACACCTGTAATCCCAACACTTTAGGAGGCTGAGGTAGGAGGATCGCTTGAGGCCAGGAGCTCGAGACCAACCTGGGCAACATAGGGAGAAACTGTTTCTACAAATAATAAAAAATTAGCCAGGCGTGGTGGCACATGGCTGTAGTCCCAGCTACTTGAGAGGCTGAGGTGGGAGGATCGCTTAAGCCCTGGAGGTTGAGGCTGCAGTGGGCTGTAATCGTGCTACTGCATGCCAGCCTGGGAAATACAGAGACCCTGTCTCCAAAAAAAAAAAAAAAAAAAAAGCACAGTAATCAAAACAGTGTAGTACTGGTATAGTGACAAACATACAGACTAACAAAACAGAATACAGAGTGGGATCAGAAATAGAACCAAACATACCTAGTCAATTTTATTTTATTTTTTTTGAGATGGAGTCTCACTTTTCCACCCAGGCTGGAGTGCAGTGGTGTGATCTTGGCTCGCTGCAACCTCCGCCTCCTGGGTTCAAGCAATTCTCCTGCCTCAGCCTCCCAAGTAGCTGGGATTACAGGTGCCCGCCACCATGCCTGGCTAATTTTTTTTTTTTTTTTAGTAGAGATGGGTTTTACCATGTCGGCCAGGCTGGTTTCGAACTTCTGACCTCAAGTGATCCACCCACATCAGCCTCTCAAAGAGCTGGGATTACAGGCATGAGCCACTGTGCCTGGCCAATTTTTTTAATTTGAGACAGAGCCTCACTGGAGTGTAGTGGCACAGTCATGGCTCACTGTACCCTTTACCTCCCAGGTTTAAAAGGTCCTCCTACCTCAGTCTCTTGAGTAGCTGCAGCCACAGATGTGTGTCACCATGCCTTTTTTTTTTTTTTTTCCAAAGAGACAAGGTCTCCCTATCTCTAGAGAGGCCTCAAACTCCTAGCTGGTCTGGAACTCCTGGCCTCAAGTGATCCTTGGCTTCCCAAAGTGCTGGGATTATAGGCATGAGCCACCAAGCCCAGCCTGGTCAAATAATTTTTGATAAAGGTGAAAAGATAAATCAGTGGAGGAAGATTATTCTTTTCTACAAATGGTGCAAGAACAAATGGATATCCATATGCAAAAATCATAAAGCTGAATCCATATCTTACTCCACATACAAAAATTATCTCAAAATGAATCACAAACCTAAATGTAAATAAAACATAAAAAGATACAATTTCTGGAAAAAACCCATAAAGTATTTTTGTCTCCTTGGGTCACGCAAAGAGTTATCAGATACAATACCAAAATCTTGATCCACTAAAAAATTGGTAAGTTGAACTTTATCAAAATTAAAAGCTTCTGGTCTTTGAAAGACAATGTTAAGAGAAAGAGAAAACAATTTTTAAATCTTATATCTGATAAAGGACTTATATCCAGAATATATAAAGAGCTCTCAAAACAGAGTAATAAAAAAAAGACAATACAAAAATGGACAAAAGATGTGAAAATGGGTACTTTACCATGTGTGATATACAGATAGACAATAAGAATAAGAAATATGTTCATCACCATTAATTATTAGGGAAATACAAATTTAAAAACTGAGATATCAAACACACCTGTTAAGATGACTAAAATTAAAGACTGACAATCCCAGATATTGACAAAGATGTGGAACAACCAGAACTCATACACTGCTGGTCGGAATGAAAAATAGTATGACTATTTTGGAAAAACAGTTTTCCAATTTCTCAGAAAGTTAAACGTACTCTGACCATATAACCCAGTCATTCCACTTCTAGATATTTTCCCAAAGCATATGTGTACACAAAGGCTTACACATGAATGTTCATAGCAGCTTTATCTGAATTTGTTCCAAGTTGGAAACACTCAAATGTCCCTAAACATGTGAATATACAAAAGGTAGAACAAAAAGGAACAAACACATGATACACATAAAAACATGAATGAATCCTGAAATAATTATAGTAAGTGAAAGTCGTCAAACAAAAAGTATACAGTTAAAACCCAGAGAACTGTGCAACACAAAGGATGTACCCTAATGTAAAGTATGGACTTTAGTCAATAATAACATATCAATATTGGTTCACTACTTGTATCAAATATACCACACTATTGCAAATGTTAATAATGGGGAAAATGTATGCAGGGCAAAGGGCATCTATAAGAATTCATTATAATATTGGCTCAATTTTTCTGTAAACCTAAAACTGCTGTTCAGGTTTATGTATTAGTTTGTTCTTGCATAGAACTACCTGAGACTGGGTAATTTACAAAGAAAAGAGGCTTAATTCGCTTACGGTTCTGCAGGCTGTACAGGAAGCATGGCTGAGGACGCCTCAGGAAACTTATAATCATGGCGGAAGGTAGAGGAAGGAGTCACGTCTTACATGGCCAGAGTAGAAGAGTGAAGTGGAAGGTGCTACACACTTTAAACAGCCAGATCTCGTGAGAACTCACTCACTATCATGATAACAGCTAGGGGGAAATCTGCCCCCATGAACCAGTCACCTCCCACCAGGCCCCTCCTCCAACACTGGGGATTACAACTTGACATAGGATTTGGGTGAGGACACAAATCCAAACCATATCAGTTTATAAAGTCTATTAATTAGAAAAACTTACAAAAACTTAAAAATAAAGCCAATTTACTTTTAAAAATTAGATACATGAACCACCAAAACAATATTGTAAATGTAGGTAATAGATGTACTGTAGTTCATTATATTGTTCTCTATTTTTCTGTATGTTTGAAATTTTCATTTAGAAATTTTTTAATTAAATTTATTTATTTTGAGGACAGGGTCTCATTGTGTTGCCCAGACTGGAGTGCAGTGGCTTGATCTTGGCTCACTGCAACCTCGACCTCCTAGGCTCAGGTGATCCTCCTGCCTCACCTCCTGAGTAGCTGGGACTACAGGCATGAGCCATCATGCCAGCTACATGTTTCCATTTGTATTTATTTAATTTAAAAAATTCTTTCTTTCTTTATTTTTCGAGACAGGGTCTTGCTCTGTTGTCCAGGCTGGAGTACAGTGGTGTGAATATGGCTCACTGGAGCCTCTATGCCCTGGGCTCACGAGATCCCCCTGCCTTAGCCTCCTGAGTAGCTGGAACCACAGCCACAGGCCACCATGCCTGGCTAAGTATTAGATTTTTTTGTAGAGATGGGATTTCACCATGTTGCCCAGGCTGGTCTGGAACTCCTGGCCTCAAGCAATCTTCCCACCTTAGCCTCCCAAAGTGCTGGGATTACAGGCGTGAGTCACTGAACCTGGCCTAGAAATATGTTTTTAAAAAGAGTACATAGTATAATTCTACTTACTTAAAATTCTACAAAATACAAACTAATTTATAGTGACAGAAAGCAGATTCATGGTTTCCTAAAGACAGTAGAGGCAGGAATGATTAAAAAGGAGCATCAGGAAACTTTGGTAAGGGACACATATGTTCATTACCTTGACTGTGGTGATAGTTTCATGGTTCACAGTTTCATACATATGTCAAAACATATCAAACTATATATTTTAAACATATACAGTTCATTACATGTCAATTATACTCCAACAAAAATGTTAAAAAGTTAAGAACGTACATTGATTATAAAACAGCAGGTTTTTGTTTAAAAAGGAGAAATATGAAAACAAGAAACTATGGAATTGAAGAAGTTGATTATCCAAATAAAAACTCAGTGCAAAGTCTACTATACACTGAAGCAATGCATAGTGGCATGAATCTTTCAAACATCAAAATTAGTAAATGAGAACATTTGCAAAGAATTTTTCCAAAGCTTAAGGGGAAAATATAAGACAAAGAGTTGGGCATTGAAAAAAAAATTCCAAAAATAAAGAGAAAAGCTTTAGAGTTTCAATGTCAAAAAAAAAAAAAAAGAAAAAGTTATCTTC